GGGCAAAGGTGTTCTTACACCACGTATTTTGCCATAATTCGTGGTTACGACTGGGTATTGTGCTTGTCCATCGATAAGTGTAAACCGTATCGCTAGAGCAGTTATCCAGAAGAGGAAATTAGAATTCAACATGACACAAACAGGAGTAAAGATCAAAGGCAGCCATAAGAGTCCCATTGGCCTTGACATGATTTACATCAACATTCGCAGGCCTCTGTCTTCCACACCCAGATGGAGAATCAAATTAGTCGGGAAAGGGCAAAAAAGTGAGGAGGGAGGGGAGTGTGCAAGTGGGGGGGAGGGGGAGGGAGGAGTTGACCAAGGAAAATAAAATAAGGGGCAAAAACAATCTTGCCAAGGCAGAAAGAAGCCCCCAAAATGAGTGTTGTATGTGTCTCAGCAGAACGACCATAGACAGATCCCTGTGGCACAAAAAGCAAGGGAGTTCTTTTGCTTAAAGCCCATCCCTTGGGTCTGCTTCTCTTTCAGTGCTGATATCACAATCCAAGAATCAGAAGTGGCAAGATGTTCAACATTTACTCTGCTACGTTGGCACGGTGGCTCCTTCCAGTTAACTCCAGCATGATGAATCAACCTGTGCAATAAACAAAGAAGGGAGAGGGAGAATTAGCATACATTCTGCTGCTGACAATATTTTAAAATAAATCTTCAATTTGTATCCCTGCCATTTCATCACCTTCATCCATTTTTGCTACATTAACATCATGCTGCCATTTAAGGATATAGGAATTCTCCAATTCCTATCAGTCCAGTGGGACATACAGCTAATGAGAAATGCTTGAGTAGCACACCATTAAATGGTAGCTGCTATCTCCACTGGGCAGTGACACTGCACATTTCATTTCTCAGCAGCTATAGAACTAGCTGCAGAACCATCTGCTGTCTGTGTATGTGAAAAAATAAATTTTAACTTAGAGAAGATTTCAGTGGCATTGAACAGAGGGGACTAGCTTTGATTACTATTTTGTGCATTGACTATTTATTTACATCACTGCTTCTAAGGGGCTCAGAGCAGCATATATCGTGTCTCCTCCCCATTTTAAGCCAGAAGCATTATGCTGAGTGTGACTAGTACAGATTTGACTTCAGGATGCTGTAGTCCAACATTTGAAGTCCAATGAGTATCTACTTCAGCACAGTGGGTTGTAATTTAGGGTGTTTTTGTGCATTTCTCCCCCTTTGCTTCGCTTGTTTCAAGCAAATGCAGAACTGTTGCTGACTAAAATGTAGATGTGGTGTTGAAAAAAAAGTTCTCTTCTCATTAACACCATTCACATGCATACAATAGTAGGGAAAGAGGTCAAAGGTGGTTTTAGTCACATGTGTGAAAATGCATTGCACCTCTTGCCCCATGCAGAGTCAAGCTCAAATCTGAGTATATTTCAGAACAGTTTGAGATGACTTGTTTATACTTGTTAGGCTTAGCTATTTGCCTAACATTTTAATTGGGACTCTCAGTGGCTATGGTGGTTGCTCGAGAGTAACCAGGCAGGACTCCGACCTGTCTTTTACAGGCTTTATTCTTGGTGCAAACTATTTACAGTGAAGAGAGTCGTAAGTTCATGTCTGTCTCAATCGCTAGCAGAATCTGGGAGTGGTCGGTTTTTGTACCTCCCCCAGCATAAAAGTCACATCACCCCCAGCCTTTTCCAACCCTCCCTATGCTGAAAACTACTGCACAGAATGGGCGCTGGCAAGGGTGCGCTTCCCGCCTCTCTGGCTTGCTCAGGCTCAGTGTTAAGGCTTTCCCTAGCATCCCCTTGCCCCTGCACTTCTTCTCCACTGGAGGTAGGGCTTTCCTCCTCGCCGGAAGAGGAACTGCTTCACAAGATTTTTGGAGGCTCTCTATAACACAACTGCCCTTCCATCTCTCGTCTCTGAGCTGATGGCAGTTCCCTGACAGGGACATAGGCAGAAGCAGCCTTATTCTGGTTCATCCTGCTCTGTATAGTCTCCATTGATCGGAAGCAGCTCCCCAGGATTTCAAACAGGGGTCTTTTCCAAAGCTAAGCATGTGCTCTACCACTGAGCCACAGACCTTCCCTGATTATTTCTATCACTGCCTGCTTCTCTGAACGTTTTTATATATAACCCTACCATGAGACTTTGGAATGAGAAAGCTGAAATAAAATCTACTAAAAAATAAATAACTAAAGCAAACGTGAAATGTGTTAATTTTTCCATTGTCAAGGAACATGTTGTCATAGCTACATTATTTTAGCTATAAAATGTACTCAACACAGAAGTGTCCTTTCAAGTTCCTCATTAAGATGCAATTTTCCACATAAGGTCCAAAATATTCAACAAATCCATGCCAGGGTTCTTTAAAGAAGTGAGCACTCAGCACTCTCTATCTAGAGAACTCCCTCCCCCACATTTGCCCTGAGGAAGTGGCCTAATTTTAATGTAGGACTTTGCTTACACTGTTAAATGTCAGGACAGTGACAGGAAGTTTCCGTAGCATTTAGACTCATATCAAGCTAACCTAAAGGAAAATGTCGGCTGAATTGTATGAATGCTGCATCATGGAATACACAAAAATGTAATATGAGAAACATTTTCAGTCAAAAGAAAAGAAAACATGAGTTATTCCACTCCACTAAGGACAGCACCCTGACGCCAGGTAAAACTAAACTGTATCAACCACATTCTCATACAGAAATTCATCAAAACTAAATGCTAAGAGTTAGATCACTGAGCACATTGAGCAAATTTTCCCATCTGCTGGGAGGTACTTGACTTTCTCTAACAGTAAACACGTATGCACACAGACACACACACACAAGCTTATTGGCATTATTTGTTTATATATCTTATGACTTGCTTTTGTGTGGAAGATTGTGGAGTAGGGTTCTTAGGATTCACGGATACTGAATTATGTCACTGGTCTCTCTAGCTCAGTAGAGAATAGAATTTTATTATTACGGTCACAGACCAGTTCCGGGTCACTTAGAATATCAGGAAAATCATAAAACACAGCAGGAATACATTGAATTGCAACTGGGTATAACAGAGACAATTCAGATATAGAGGCAGTTAAAAAAATATATTAAATCTTGATCCCTAAAATATAACCTAAAATTATCATTTAAAACCTTAATCATTTTGGTAGCACAGCTTGTTCCCTAAGTTTTATGGCAGTCGCACAGAATTTGGCCAGAGTATCTCTAGCTCAGTATTGTCTAAACCAGCAGGCAATGGCTCTGTCAGTATGCAAAGGCTTTTATGCTCACTTTAGAACCATAACCTTTAATGGGGACATCTTGCCTCTCTTGGTGGTCTGTTTCTAGAGTCAGCCAATAGGGGAGTTGCCACAAGGATGAGTGTGCACCTTTAGGACCAAAGTTTGAAGTCCAGGTGAGAGAATGGTATTTACTGTAGTGGTGGGCTGCCTGGTGGTTATAACCTGGTGGTTATTTTGCTTTATGTTTTCATCTTTTTCCTCGAGTTTCATATGAGTGAGATCTCTTAGGTCTCATAATGAACCACTGGAATGCATTGGATACTGTGGGTATTATAATACAGTGGTACCTCGGGTTACAGACACTTCAGGTTACAGACTCTGCTAACCCAGAAATAGTACCTCGGGTTAAGAACTTTGCTTCAGGGTGAGAACAGAAATCGTGCACCAGCGGCGCGGCGGCAGCGGGAGGCCCCATTAGCTAAAGTGGTGCTTCAGGTTAAGAACAGACCTCCAGAACGAATTGCCGTAATTTCTTAACCTGAGGTACCACTGTAATATTACTGGCATTGGATATTGCTAACTGACCAACTGGTATGTTTTATGTTCATTTAAACATTTCCCACTGTTTTGAATTAAATGATGGATTTATCATGTTGCATTGCAATGTATTCAAATCACACTTATGGCATTTCAGTTGTCTATCCTGTAAAATGCTTTGGGCACAGATGTATTTGTAGAAAATGTGGTACGCAAATACACTGACCCTGAATATAGGGATTCAGACTGGAGTCTTTGGGAGTCCTACCTGGAGATACCAGTGGTTGAACCTGACATCTTTTGAATGCAAAGCAAGAGCTCTACCGCTCCAAGTCTTTCCTACTTAATGATGTGAGCTCTTTCTGCAGCCTGAAGTGCATCCCAGGCAGAGTTTCATTACCATCTGCTGTTTTTTAGAACAGGGCCTTAGAGTCACCTGTGATAGGTCATGAAAATGTTCACCTTTTGCAATTATGCTAGCAGCTCTGTTGCTTGTATTTACTTAACAGGGAGGGGAAAACATTTCTAAGCTACTCCAGAGCTTTTCACAGCCTTGTTTTAAATGACTGTTATACCTTCTGAGTTTGTTCAGGAGAACATGTTTTCCTAGATTACCATGCATAAATGGCAGAACGACAGCAACAACAATCTCCTTTCCCCAACCTCACCAAAGACTTTGCATGACACACAGATTAGCTTTGCTTTGTTTGCATCCTCTAAGGCTATGTTTGCCAATGGGTGGTCTTACAGAGAGCCTGTGGCTTCCTGTGTCTGCCTCTCCCTTTTCACAGGGCAACAGCTGTGGACAAGGAAAGGAATAGATGGTTGGGAAAAGGCAGGACACACAACATGTGGAATTTGTCCCAGTGTTACTTGTCCTGATTATTGGAGGGATACAGTGCACAACTATAAGAATTGGAGCAGGGATGCTCAATGGTGTGAGCAGTTGTGCTTTAACTGCTATGGGCAGAATCAAGGTAGTAACGTCTCCCATACAAGAAAGCCCCTGTCTGGATTCTGTCCATGCACACAGTCCTTTACACAGCTGTAACCTCTCAACTTTCAAAGTCCAAAACAACATTCCCTTTGGAAATAAGGATAGGGGACTTCCACTAAATGCTATAGGCAGACCCAGTACTCATGAGTCCTGATTAGACAAGGCATAATCCTCTTCTCATTTAACACTTCTGCTATAATTTTTCATTTAAGAATGTCTGGTTGGTTGGTTGGTTTGTCTTTGCTATTTACTTTTATTTACACACACACATGCACACACACACACACACACACACACACACCTCAATTTCCATTTGATCCATGAGCTAAGCTGTGTGTGTGTGTGTGTGTGTGTGTGTGTGTTGCATTCCAGTGTCAAGCCAAGTTAATACCATCCTTATCATACATTTGGATACTATACAAAACAGTTTGCCTCCATCCAAAACCCTGTGGGATAATGACACTGACACTGGATTTTGTGTGAGCAAAACAGGCTGACTTATTCACTTTACCCTTCTCTCAGACCTTTCTGAGACTGCAGTCAAGATCTGTAGATTCCAAGCACACATAATGATTACTTAGGAAAGTCTGAAGCTCACACAAGTGTGGGGTCATTTGTGAATTAGGTGTAGATCTCCTTAATAGCAATGTACTTAAAGCTTAGACTACAGGAACCGGCTGGTAGGAATGAGTTATTATTACTCTTCTGTATACCTATATACTTTTCTACTATCAGTCTGAGTAAGAGTAGGAAGTTAAATGGACTCATAGTTTTCCCAGTAAGGCTGCTCCCAGGTTACTATTCAAATAGCAAGCAGAGAAAGGAGATTAAGGCATTGTCATTTCAGTGACAGAAGATCCGGTTCTTTATCCTTTTCAATCTAGAATGGATGAAAGACTAAAAATGATCAATTACAGAATGAAATCCAGTATTTCAGAAGTGGTGCCAAAATGAGAATGGGTCTTTTCTGTATGATATATTTCACTACAAAATGGAAAATACAGTAGAAATGCAATTTAATTAGATGAGCAGAGGCTTAGAATCCTGTCTTATTCCCCCTACAGGAAAGGAAAACAGATAATAAGGGAAGTAAGACAGAATTTTATTATTCATGGCAAGTCCCTAGTAAGAAAACATGCTGTCTCAGTGCTTTTCTGTAATAACAGAGCTAAACCTGTTAAAATGATTTGCTTGACAGCCCCTATCATCCAGCCAAACACATAAAATTTAAAAATGTCTTCCAGTACTTAATTACATTTTTGCACATCAATGAGCTTTCAGAATTTTAACTCAATTCAGCATCTTTGTTCCAGAAGAGGAAGGAGTCAGAAAACAAAAATAATATTCAGGAGCAAAATATTCTCTTTCCCCACAAAAAACACAAGCACACGTGCCATGCACATGTACACACACACACACACACACACACACACCCATTTGTTGAAACTTTCAACAAGTGCTATCCAGAAGAAACATTCCTACAATAAGGATCATACAGACAGCTTTTGGTAACAGTCCAGTTAACAGAACTTCTGCAGCCAACCACCCTCCTTAGTAATGAATAGCTGAAGGTACCAGGTTCAGTCCCAAGTGATTTGGTAAAAGACTTGATTTTGTTAACTGATAATAGATTTTGTGATTGTAAAGAGTTTTAAATGTTCATAAGTACTAATGAAAATATATTTGTTGTGGTGGCACAAGGTTAGACCTGGATGAATATTTCCTGGGAGATCAACTGATCATATAAACAAAACACTGAGCATGTTTAGGCATCTTACTTTGTTTTCATGTGTCATCATTTTTAAGTTTTATTACGCTCCAGGGCCTAATTCAGAAGGAGTCAGCCGGACCAGATGCAGTAGACTGTGGCATTTTCTTTACTAGACAAATCTACTGAATTATCACTTTCTGAAACCGTTTTGAAATTCACACCTATCTGAATTTTGCAATGCAGTTCTCCAACAAAGCAATGCTTACAAAAATGCATATATTATGGGGAGGTGTGCACAAAAAGAAATATATTAGTGAAAGATAACATACCAATAATGCATTATATCAGGGGAAATTACTTGCAAAAATATAGTCAAAACTGCATACAAATTTGTGTTTATTAGGAGAAATCTGCATTAAAATGCTGATGAATTTTCATTAGATTTTTAAAAATAATCATAATCATAATCCCAGATTGCTGTGGAAATTTGGAGAACTGAATTCATAATTGGGGAAAAAATGATAAACAGACAACTGAAAGTGACAGGTCCATCCATCCCTAGCCACAGTAGACGCCTGGCAGAATGCATTCACAAGGAAAATCAAAAGCTCTGCAGTCCTGAACTAGGTGGATTAAAAAAAAGAAAAAAGGAAATGATCTGGCATCGTTTTTCTATACTATTTAGTGCTTTGGGTTTCTGGCCCCTTCCCAGCATCCTTTAGGATTCTTTATAATCTAACAAAGCCTTATAACTTTTTTTTTTCTTGGCATGCCCTGTAACACAGTGCTCTAGGCAATAATATTTATTTTCTTCATTGCTCAGTGTCACTAAATCCAATAGCCCGTAGCAGTTGGCTGAAACTAGGCAGTGGACAAAAATAACACTTACATTAATCTCCAAAGCTGGTATGAACAAAGTACATGACTCATAGGAGCATGAGTGGCACAATATGGCTCCGATACAAAGAGGTCAAGCGCACACACAGAATTCTAATGGGTGCATATTTTCCTATTCTCTTTGTTGTTTAGGGCAGCTATGCTTATGCAATGGAATCTTTGCACACAGGTGCCTATGTAAATGGGTAGTTTAGCACAGGAGCTCTGTGTGCACATTTCTGAATTTTATTCACTTAGGGTCCCTCCAGACCATTCCTATTTTTCAGGAAGGATTCAATGGCATACTGTAGCTTTAGATTTTTTCAATTGAAGTGGATTAAGTGGTTGTTAACCAGTGCAACTTTTTGTGGTTTGGAAAGTGATGGGGAAATAAATTTAAAAGTGTGGGATGAAGAAATAATTAATGGGATCCCAACCAGGATGGGTGCAGAATGAATATTCATTGTCATATAACTACCCTGTAAATGAATCAGAATGAATGTTTAATAAAGACCAAATTTATTGTGCAAGCAAGTCAGGATGAGTGCTGAACAAACAGTTTGTCTGGAGGAGCTCTTACTCTTTTTAATTCATCATATTTGCATATCATGTTTCCCCTAAGGGCAAATGATTTATGTTTGTCCCATTTTAAACATACAACATTCTTATGAAATAGCTTCAACTGAGAGATAATAACTAGCTCAAAATAATTCAATACGCATCATGGTTGAGCAGGAACTCAAACCCAGGCTACCATAGTCCCAAGTCTTTTTAGGATCTTTAATTAAAGGAATTTATAAATTACTTAATATTTCAAAAATCTAAGTGGAGTACATTTATGTTAAGAAGTATCAATAAGAAATGCAGTCCAAAACCAATAAAGCAGCAACATAACACCATGTAAAATAATGAAACAGCTATTAGGGGATTCACATAAAACAGGTCTGATAATACGGGTCAAGGAAAGCTTGGGCAGAGATAAGCCTTCACAACACATCTGCAGCAACTGATGATTTGTTATGGTTGGGTCTTTCCCACAGAAGCAAGGCAAAGCTGGCAGCAATTAACTCAGGTTTCATTGCTCAAAACACGCAAATCACTCTGGAGCTGCTGAGTCTGAGGTATGCCCCTTCCTCCTCCCACTTTTAAAGCCCCACTTACGCTTCCTTTCCTGTTCACACCTTTCATTAATCTTTGCAAGCCTACACACCTGGGGATGGGCAATTCCCTGTAGCACTCCCTCTGAGTCTGAGCTACAGCTGTCAGTCTGCATCTTCTCCTTTGAACTCCCCCTTCCCTTCTCCTTGTTCTCGGCACTCTCCTTGTTCTCAGTCTTCTACTGCAAATTGGGTCCTCCTCCCCCTTCTGCACTCCTGTCTAATTACCTCCACCTGTCTCTCCACACTCTCCCCCTCTGTCAGCAATGGAACGCAGCTGACATAAATGTTACTTTGTGTATGGCAGAGGGAAGGGCATTCCACAGAAGAGGGGCAACAGCAGAAAATGCCTGTTTTCAGATCAACATTCTGTGATATTATGAAGGGTCCAGTGCCATGAGTAGAATTTTCCCCTGATGATCTAAGTGATATTAAAGGTCTATGCAGGAATTATTTTAGGTAACCTGGTCCCGAGTTGTTCAGGGTTTTTATGTTAACAAGAGTACTCTAAACCAGACTAGGTAGCTGGTTGGCAACCAATTCAGTTACCTCAGCACAGGTAAATAAATATGTGGACATCTCAGCAACCTCGCTGAAGCATTCTGCATCAGTTGCAGCTTCCAGTTCAATTTCAAGGGAAGTCCCATAGAGCACATTGCAATTGAAAGGTTACCAGTATAAGGATCACAATGAGCAAGTTATCTCTGTCCAGCAATGGTTGCAAAAGTCACATAGGGTGCTGTGTGGACATAAGGGTTAACCACGTTCCAAGGGAAGGTGTTGTGCTAGGTACCTCTAGCTAAGAACAATCTGTCTGATTCAGGACAGAAAACACGGTTGTCATGCATCACTCAGCTAGAATGCGAAGTTATGCAAAGGCAATATAGTCACAGAGATAAGTGCTGGTTGTTCTGATTGGTTTTCCCTGAATTATCATACTCTAAATGCCAAGAGAATGCTCTTTTATGGCACAATCAAAACAAATTGGTGACAGAGAAAGTAATTATACTTGGCAATCATAAACAGACATCCCCAGTATATTAATCAGTTAGCAAAGGTACATTTGGAAAATAGTATGGTAGAAGACCCTGCAACATTTTGAAGCCTATTTTGAGCAGAGAAATTGGGGCACTATTTCAGCCAATTTGTCCTGAGGTGTGTGGATAAATTCTTCAACAGTTTCTCACAGTAAATAAGGTCAAAATTAACACTGACAGTGGAACGGCTTAGTTGTTTCCCCACCCTCCATTGGTTTTGTTTTTGTTTTTGTTTTTTTGTTTCGTTGGGTTTCTTGGCTGCTGCCGTTTGGTTGTTTTGACATGCTGGCAATTGTTTTCCATAAGCCACAATGCCTGGTGTTCTTCTGGGGTATTGGGGGTGGGGATGAAATTGTGGTCACCACAAAAAATGTTGCTGTATATTCAGCAAAGTGGCCTTTCGGGGATAGTGAGAAAAAGCAAGATATCAGAAACATTCTCAGGAAAAATAACCTCAGAGAAATTTGGGCTTAGCTCCAGGTTAGTTGGTAGGTTTCTGGGCCTGCTAATCATATGTTTTGTGTTCTTACCCTTTGAGTTTCATTTGGCCTCATCATCATACAGATCCTGCTTCATAACTA